CGTCCTTAAAGAGTGGTCCTAGAATCTGGTGGGTGGCGATTGAATCACCTTCAAATCGGAGGGTAGCATTTCGATCAATGAAGTCTTGGCATTTGTTGCATTCCTCGGTGAGCTTGGTAATGAAAGTGTTGGAGGCCATTGATGAAGGTTTGGAGGTTTTTCTGGGTTTCGAAGTTTGGTTTCTTTTTCTAGGTTGAGAGCAAAATGGCACGAATTGATGAAAATTGAAAGCGTGAAAGGTCAAATGAATCTGGGCAGAGTATTTGTAGGCAATTGGGGAAAAGATCAACGATTTAGGGTTAAGAGATGAAGGGTATATCCGACCAAAGAATTTCATAATCATAACAGATCTTTTGAAATCCAGGTGAAGAGGCCGAAAAGCACGCAAATTAAGGTTGCATGATTATATGTAACGACATTGCAATAGAAAGAAGAAAAAGAAGGCGGAGCCAAAAACCAAAGAGGGCATTGGAGGGAGAACGAAAACCATCGTCCCTTGTTATTTTCCTCTCTTTTTCTGCTGTGGTGTGGGCATCAAATTTTATTTTTCAAGTTCGTTCTTCCTGCAGCTTATAGGAGGACTGGATGAGAATGTGAAATTAAAGATGGCAATTAATTATTAATTAAGGAGAGAGAATTAACGAAGCAGAAATGGTAAGTTTTAATTTTTAATTCATTCAATTGTTTTTTTTTTTCATAAAAGATTTAATTAAATGCATAGGTAATCCTTAATCATCTAAATGACCTATTAACTAGGACTGGGCATTTAAAAAAGGGAACTTTAACAAAAAGCTCTCGGTACTATTCACTTTAACGAAAAATCACATTTTTTCACTAGAAAGTCAATCTGGGTACTATTCACTTCACCTTTTATTTTGTTTTTATTGTTAAAACTTAAAGTTTTCAAGCCATTTTCATTAGTTTTCCTTTAAAAAAAAAAAATGGCTGAACTGGCCCAACTGCACCGATAACGTGGTTTGGTTTAGTTAGTTATTTATTTATTTATTTATTATTTTTTTTAACTTTCAGTGGTTAAACCGAACCACACCGATATTAATCAGTATGATAAATGGTTTCTAAAATTCTCAGTCAACGATTAACTAAATCGACCTGCATGTTTAAGAGTCAATTTCCTTTTCATTTGCTTTCACTTAACTGTCAAACTCATAACCTACTTTTGGGTTTGATTTCATCTTCTTTCGTGAGGATGAGTCCTTGGGTTTGATTCCATCTACTTTTGGCTTTGGGTACTCATCTGCTTTTGTGATAGGATAACACTTGGGTACTGTCTTATCAGTATCCAATTTTTACTGACTTATTAGGTGACCTAATAATTGTCCAACACCTATCTTTAAAATTCACACCCAAATCATTGTTATCCTAATAACCAAACACCTATCTTCTTCCTACTTTCCCTTGGGTTTGATTCCATCTACTTTTGGCTTTGGGTACTCATCTGCTTTTGTGAAGGGATAACACTTAGGTACTGTCTTGTCAGTATCTAATTTTTACTGACTTATTAAGTGACCCAATAATTGTCCAACACCTATCTTTAAAACTCACACCTAAATCCTTGTTATCCTAATAACCAAACACCTATCTTCTTCCTACTTTCTGTATGCCAGCTACTCCGTCAATCCCATCCTCATCCTCCTACCTCTCTCCTCCGTCATAGCCCTTCCTCTGCAAATTCGACCAAACCAGTGCACAGACCAAGAACAATTTTTACAGGTGCCATGAATTCGATTACTCAACGATTTCACAGGATACAATTAATCATCGGTTCGAAAGCGGATGAAAGACGGTGACTGGTGATGGTGGTGGGTGAGGATGGTTGTCGAATGTGCAAAGGACAACGAACATGGTGACTCCCATCTCCATATGGGTCTTATTTTGTTCATGTTGAAAAGAATTCATTTTGTTTATTCGCAATTATGATAAATTGTAGCCATGGTGGTGATTGGTGTAGGCAAAGGAAGATGAAGGAAAAAGGGTGAAAAAGTTGTAGGGAAGAAGAAATGAGGTGTTTGGTTGTGTGTTTAAAGGTGTTTGGGCGGGTGTTTAAAAGAATTCTAAGAATACTAGGTGTCCTCAATTTAGTTTACCACATAAGTAGGTTAGCATATTTGGTACTCGCTGGTGAGTATCCAAGTATTTCAACCTATTTGTTTGCTACTTAGTACTACGATCTAGCAGTATTACTCTTCACTTGTAAGTAAAAGGTTTTAGATTTGATTCTCGTCAAAGACGAATTTAAATCACATTATTATTGTGAGGCTAAGCTTACCCCCTACCTTTAAGGTACTTTTGTTGCACTGGACTATCTTCGACTGGACTAGCTTTAAGGACTAAGCTAGATTGGTTTTGAATAGACTAAGTTGGACTGATTCATGAAGCGTTTAGTGCAGTTTAATATTATATTATTTAATTTATATATGTTAAAACTTGATTATTAATTTAATCTATATCTATCAATATTTTATTATTTCTTTATCATTTTCCATTTGTTCTAGACTCATCTTCTTCTCTGATCAAGGTTCTACAAGACGTTAGGCGTTAGTCGGACGGCGAACTGGAGCCTAGCGCCTAGGCGGCTAAGCGAAGACTAGGCTGGTGCCTAGGTAGACTAGGCGGATTTAAGTAAATATATTGTATTTTGTTTAAATAAGTGTCTGTTTATATTTAAAAAATATATAATTTCATCATAAACTAGAAAATAGAATGACATATATATTGTGAAGTATTAGAACATAATGAAAACATGGGGGGCAAACATATAATGTGCGTTTATTTAAGTGTTCAATAAATCTCTTACAATTTATTGGAAACAATAAAATGCAAAAGGAAAGTTATCTATTTTCTATCTAAGTGAGTTGCAACCTAAGCGGTGTTTAGGCGGGTCTGGATAGGCTAGGCGGGTGTCTAGGCAGGTCTGAACGGGCTAGACAGGTGCCTCAACAGGTCTAGGCATCATTTCTTAATTTTCAAATGCCTAAGCATTAATTGGGGTGGTGGCCAGCTGCCTATAACCTAGGCGGGGATTTTTAGAACAGTGTCTCTGATCTCTATACCTCTATTTTTTTTTTAATTTTTTACTCCGCTCACTGTTTCCCTCCATTCTTCCTTTTCCCTCCCTTTTTTACTCTGCCTACTGTCTCCTCCTTCCCTTTTCTTTTTCTGTTGTTTCACCTTTGTACCACTGTCCCTTCTCCTATCTCTCCCTTTGTATTCATTTTGTTTCGCCTCTACAGAAGCACTTAGCGCATGAGCTGCGGGGTAGCAGAGGGATCTCAAATTGCAAAGATCGTTCTTGGATCCTAAGTTCTTCAGGCAGAGACTGTTATCTCTGTTTTCTGGGGTCTAATTCCAACTCAATCGATGAAAATGGAGAACCCATTTCCACATATCGATTAAGTGTTCTTTCGTCGGTTCGTCGGGAAGTCTGGGTTGTGGGTTCGTTGGGAATCAAATAGGGGGTTGGGTTCGCAGGACGATGGAGATTGGCAAAAAGGCAGGATTTTGGTGACTGTGTTCGCGAGACGTTGGTGGTGGAGACGGGATTAGCAATGCCGAAGTTTTCGAGGGGCTTAGCTAAGATCAACTAGCGAAAGACTTAATCGGCAATAGTCCGATTTAGTCTCATTAATCTCAATCCCTTCTCGCACCAAAAAAGGAATTGGTAAGCCAGTTCAGTCCAGTGAATTCTAGCGAAGTCAAACAAATGTTTTCTTAATGTATATCATATTGATTGTTCAAATAAAAAAAAAATACATTTGTTTAATTTCTTTTTTTTTTTTTTCCTTTTAAAGTGGACCCATTTGTTTTCTTTTGTCATTGCTTTTACCCATTTGTTGCTTTTAACCCAGAGCGAATAGCTGCTTTCCCCCCACTTCCTTCCTCGTTGTTTGGTTTTATTTTACTAAATTGCTAGTTGAAATTGGAAAGGAGTTAGATACAAGGTAGGGCCTGGAAAAGGATTACGCATGTCTGGAGAAGAGATGGGACATCCATAAATCAAGAACCAACCCAAATCGACTTGTCATTCTCTGTTAACTGACCTGATCAATTTTAGACCAGCTTGGTAGGTTTTAGTTTACGATTTTGGCCTGACCGACTGGGTTGGTTTGGTTTCAGTTTTGGCTCAAACCTAATTCAAACCAACCTCCATCCAGCCTTAATATTAATAAAACTTTCTATGTCAATAAAAATTGGGTGAAAAGAAAATTTAGTCTATTATTACAAAATAAATCATGGATAATAAATTTCTCTTATAAAAGCTACAGAATATAGCATCAATATAAGTGATTGCTCAAATGAAAGCACAAATGAAGCAACCCAAGGAGAACACCAAAGCAGCAGTTGCTGCCTTCTCCAAATGGTCCCCCTGTTCTTCTTCAAAGGGGCTATTAAACTAAATAAGTTTTGTTTCTTGTAGTGGAATATGGTAACTCGTAAATAACTAACTATTTATATTACTACACATATTAATTATGAATAAAAAATAAAATAAAATATACGAGAATCGGCGCGGTTAACCCCACCTTAAGAATTTTGAAAACCAATTGTAAACTGATTAAGATCAGTGTGGTTCGATTTAATTGCCAAAAAAAAACAAAAAAAATCCAAACCAAACCAAACCAAACCACCTGCCGGTGCGATTTGGACGGTTCATTCGACTTCTTTTTTTCTTAAAATGCCCAGCCCTATTCTTTACCTACATGTAATGTGATGAAAAAGCATAACACTTGGACGAATTTTCTCGGCTAGCTTCCTTAGTTCCTTTCATCCCCTAAATCCATTTTTTTGTGTACGTGTGATGGCTACACTCTAATGGTTTATTAAATAGACACGTGGTGTCAATGCGACAAGATCTAACGGCTAAACGATTACCACATCTTTAATATTATAAAAATTGATTTGTTTTTTCTTGTTTTCATTTCCTTCGCTCTTCTTTTATCATACTTATATTTTGTTTTAAAATAAAAAAAAAAGTGTAAAAATTAAAAATAAATGTATGAATAAAAATCCAAATATCCACCCATCGCAAAACAAAGCCAAAACCCATGAGTCCACGACAAATCAAAGCTAATCAGCAAAAACCTTTTCACAAATGAAATCAAATTTACAAATGAAATCCAAAAAAAAGAAAAATCTGATAAACCCCTAATCCGAAGAAAAATAAAAATATTTCTTCATCCAAGATTCTACAGTACTATCACCATGCGATCATCCTTTACAAAAAAAAAAAAAAAAAAAAAAAAAAAAAAAAACACGATGAACGATTCCTAAGTCAACTCACCGGTAAAACTCGCTCCTATCTCCAAACTGCTCCATTAAACCCTAACCTCCCAACATCAATATACAAGCAATATTCCGAGAACCATTCAGGACTTAAACGTCGTCGTCGGAAGCTTTGGACATTACGGAGAGCCGGCTCGGCTTGGGCTGAAAATCCACCCGGCGGCGCTGGCTGTGCGACGACGGCCTGATCAGAGCCGACAAAGCCCTCTTCACTAAATCGCCTTCCACTCCTCCGATTCTCACTAGCGAATTTTTCATCGCCGACCTTCTGTAGTTCAGGCTGATACTCGAGTGATACGACGAACTTTGGCCGCCACAATGCGATTGGTGAGCGGCGCCGCCAGGTGGCGAGTTCTTGTGCAGGGCGCACCGAAACGAGCCAGGGTGCGTCGTAGGGGAACACAGGCACGTTCTCTTGCCGGCGTCGCTGTTGCTGTCATTGTTCTTGCGGTTTGGTAACTGATTCTTCACGGAAATCGAACGGCCGGGAGAGCCGGGGCGGTTCGCGAATCGTACGGACGACGACGACGACGGCGGCGGGGAAGGAGAGTGGGCGTACATGGAGATGCGCGTCGGGGAGGTGGAGCGCGCGAAGAACGTCGACGACCCGGAGGAGAAGCTCGAGGAGGTGGACGACGCGAAGCCCGACGAAGAAGAGGAAAAGAACGGCTGCGATTTGCGATGCTTGTACATGTCAGATCTTGTTCTCGATGACGAAGCCACGGCCATTGTCGCATGGTAGTTAGAGAAACAGATAAGACGGTTATGCTTTCTAGAGAGAGAGTATTTAGTGTTCGAATTTTCTGTGTGTTTCGAGAAAGCGCCGTTGGGTGGCATATTATATAGAGAGTGGGTGATTTGTAATTTTGTGATGTTTCGGAGGGTGATTTGGTATTGTAGATTTTTTACAGGCTGTTCGCCGCGAGTTGGCCTTATTAACTGCCAATGTAGAAATAAATTAAGGTTTTGGGTTCGGTTTAGATTAAATTTATAAATTAAATAATGTGTTACTAATAAGAAATAAACACGTTAATCAACAATTAAGTAGTAATCTAATAATTAACTTTCATATCGTTTAATTTACAAAATTTAATCTACACATTTTCCCATAGTTTACCCTAATAAGAAATGAACTCAAAATCTACTAGCATAAAATAGTGATTGAAAAGTACTCCCCTTAACTGTTTTTCCTAGAAGAGTTACTCGTCAAGTGGTGGGTAGTATGGGGTAGTATCACTATCAACATAACAATCAAGGTTTTAAAAAACGTTAGGCGCTAGTCGCAATGGAGGATTTAGAATTTTAAACTCAGGAAGTTCCAATAACAAAGGTAAAAAAATTTATAGATTAAAATAACATTTAAAAGTTAAATTATAATACATTTTATTGATGAATCATACGTAAAACAACATTACAAGCTATAAAATCTAATTCAAACATCTATGACAAAGTTTCATAGTCTAAAAATGTTCCATTTGCAAATATGATCTTTGAACCTCATCTTGAATATTAGGAGAATAATCCTTCATTCGAATTCTTTTTCTAGGGTCTCTCTCAAGATTATTCAAATGAATATCATACTCATTTTGTCTTGAACTTGAACTATCCAAACAAATAGATCGTGATATTGGTTTTGGCTTGAATTTTTTTTTCCATATTTCTTATCTATACACTACATATTAATAAAAAAAAAACACAAAAACATATACCAATTAATCAATAAATAAAATTCCAATAATTAAATGAGTATACAAAAATAAAATATATCAATAATAGATTATAAAATCTGCACCAATATATAATATAATTTAGTTGAGATTAGATTAGAATACCAAAAAATCTTATTTGAATTTTGAACCAAATGGTGGTGGTGTGGAGATTTAAAACAAATTGAGATATGATATTGGAGTAAAATTAAAATATGAGATTGGGTGGGATTTTAGGATTATGAGAATTGGGAAATTGAGGATTGGATATGCGAAAATTGGGGATTTCAGGTTTTGGATGGGGGAAGGGATGGTAAGGTATGGGGATTCAAGAAGAGTGATGGAGGCCTTGGGGAATTAAAACAAAATCGAAGCACACGGCATCGTTTTGCCGTTGTTTAAACTTAAAAAAAAAAAAAAAGAAAAAAAAAAGAAAAAAAAAAAAGAGTTTTAGTCATTTGGCCAAACGTGCGTTTTGGGCCAAGGTTGAAATGGGCAAATTTTCTTTCTCCCTCTGGGCGGTCTTCTTCCCCATCATGATGCCGCTGCTGTAACTGCACAGAGTTTGTCCAATTACGAAGGGTCCTCGGAAAATTTCAAGCAACCATTCAAGCGTCTTCAAGGGGTCCTAGGACCTCCCAGGTCCCTTTGTGGATTCGCCAATGTCTAGTCGGGTGGCGATCAGGGGTCTAGCGCTTGGCTGGTGGGCAGGGACCTAGTGCCTAGGCGGATTTATGTAAATTTATTATATATCTTGTAAATAAGTGTTTGTTTACACTTAACGAAAAAATTTATACTTTTATGGATAATAAAAAAATGATAAAATGCAAAAATAGAAATAGAAGAATACACAAAGTACATCCATCCAACAAGTTCAATATTTAAAAAACAGTAAGCATATAATCATAATGAAAAGTATTCTTGGATGATAGACTAAAATTTTCTTGTTCATGATCCTTGCATTGGTTTGACATAGACTAAATTATTTAACCTTGTTGTATCTAGTTTATTTCTTTTCTTTGTATATATCCCCTCAAAACTGCTCCAATTCATTTCATAATTGGATGAACTTGTAGTCAATCCATCCTTTTTAAATTAGGTGCACCATTTCCATAAGTATACCACTATGAAACTAAAAAAGAAAAAAAACACACACACACACACACACACAATTACTAAAAAAAAAACCGCCTAGCTTCAGACCCATTTTTCGAAACAATTTGCACTAAATCGCAGCGGGCCTTCATTGCCTAGGTCGATTTTTAGAAAATTGATACCAATTATTGTGTATTGATTGCATAAAGTCAAAAAAATGTCGGAATGTCTTTAGCCAGAGTAACGTTGGTGATAGCTAGCCTGGATGTGTTAATTGGTGTTGCAAGTGGGATACTTGCTAGGCCCAAAATTCCAAAGGCAGCAGAATTTAGTTGAGCGAAATTTGGAGAGAAATAGGGATAATTGGGTTACTGTGGTGCCTGCGACGTAGGATGGTGAAGAGGTTGGGGTCTGCCCAATCAAAACCCTAGGGATTGGCATGCTGTTGTTGTGGTTACTAATAGTGACCACGACCCTTTTTAGAACCACCACCTCGACCAATTGGTGAGTGCAGTGATTGTAACCACGAATGCCAGTGAAATGATCCCAGTGTCTTTCAGATTGCACTCCTAAAAGAATTGAGCCACCAAGAGGACATGATGTTTGTTAAGCCCATTTACTTGCGCCCACTACTTCTCCTTTTGCAACTGGCCCGTACTGGCCTTATTTCCTTAGGTCCAAGTAGCTAGGGTTTTTCCCTTTTATAAGGAGTATAAATATGTAATAATGAGAACAGAAAAGGACCATGAATGATGAATTAAAGCTGCCTCTATTTCCTTAACTCTTATTTCCTTTTCCTTTTTTAAATTCATGCATTGTTTTTTTTCTTTTAAAATTATCATTTTCAGCCAACCTGAATCGATTGGGCATACCAATTGGTATTAGAGCTTGTCGATTCGATGGGCAAAAACACGCACTCTGCCATCTCTGATCCAGACGCCATCGCTGCTGCGGCTGATGTTCATAAAAAACACCTGCAAACATAAGTCGACAACTTGGGTGACTCAATCTCTACCGTGGAAACACAACACACCCACCTCCAGAAATCTCTCGAAACCTTGACCACCTCCAACACAGCTTTTCAAAACAATATGACCTCAAATTTTGTAGCTTTTCAATCCCTAATGCTTGATGAACTCTGACTCCTCAAATCGGGCCATTTACCCTCCCATACCTCCACCCACACAGCCACTCAACACACACCCAGCCCATCTTCATCACCCTTTTAACCTCAACACCAGACCACTTCATCATTCGGTCCCCGTCCCTGTAACCTTAATCCATCCCCTTCATTTCATTCCATTTTGGGCCATTCAGTGCTCAGTCGTTAAGTATGGGCCTTTTCAACCCACTTTCCCTGAGCCTAGCCCTACTTCCCACTTACACCACCACCCCTCAACCTACCTCTGTTCCCACGACTACAACCAGCCGCCCCAACCCTACCCCTTATCAATATGGCTTTTCCTTACTTTTTACACCATACACCCTCCCTTCTTTCTCAGCACACTCACAATCCTTCCACTTAATTCCCTCTACAGCACCTGACTTTTCACCACCCCCCTTCCATATTAACTAACCCACCTCTCTAGAACCCCCATCCCCATTTTAAAGCTATTAAAATGGAACTGCCACGATTTAATGGCAATGATCCATACGGCTGGTTAGCCATGGCAGAACGTTACCTTGACTACTATAAGGTACCCCCTCATCAATGGGTACTCGTGGCTGCTTGCAATTTTGAAGTTGATGCCTCAATCTGGCTGATAGGATTTGAGCAGCGGTATGATCGAGACAAGTGGAGTCTTTTTGTTAAAATGATGCTACAACGATTCGGGGACGGTGATCTTGCAAATATTGAATCCTGGTTCACCCACATTCAGCAAAGGATCAATGTGGATGATTATATGGCAGATTTCACAAGGCTTTCTTGCTGGGTAACTGATTGGACTGAAAACTAATTGAACCATGTGTTCTTGGGTTGTCTAAAAGAGGACATTCACTACGACATTCTTGCTCTTGAACTGGAATCTTTACACAAAGCTCAGAAATTGGCCAAAATTTTAGAAACTAAGCTTCACACCAAATGTTATATCTACCCCAATTTTCCCCGTCCTTACCCATCCACTAGCATCACTTCCCATTCCTCCATACATAACCTATCACAAACAACCACAACAAGGAAAACCCCACTGCCTAAAGACCCATTTAAGCACCTAACACCAGCTGAGGTGTATGATAAAAAAAGAAAAAAAATGAATGTTTTGGCTGTACCAAGCCCTATACCTCTATCCACAAATGCAAAACGTCACTGCTTGTACTGCTTGACATTACTCTGTCTGAGGATGATTCCCTGAAATTCCATGATTGTTGAGATGAAACCACTGCCAACTAAAAACCCTCTTGTCACATGCTTGAGCTTTTTACAATCCCTGGTATCAATATAGGTAGACCAATGCGCTTGAAATGCTCCATTTCCTCTAAGTCCATTACCTTCCTGATTGATTCCGGAGCCGCATGCAACTTCCTGAATCCCCACATTGTTGAACAACTGGGTTTGCCTGTAAAACTGATCGAGCCCGTGAAATTCACTACCGCATCACATGACCGTTATTCCTTCAAACGTGTCATGGGTGTGACTCTAAAAATACAAGATTATACATTGTACAGGTCATTCTCTTACTGAATGTGCTGGGTTGAAAACTCATTTTGGGTGCAGAATGGTTGGAATCTTTGGGATTTATTGGTTGGCATTTCAAATAGAAAACAATGGTATTCTCGGTTGGAGGAAAAACTTACACACTTCAAGGCTTGACACCTTTATCATCCTTGTTCCCAGCCACAGAGTGGACCATTTAATGAGCAATCCATACTTTCTCTTAGCCTCCATAACTTGACTAGATAAACCCACCCATGGACACTCATTCTGCCATTATATCCCTCATCCATTAATCCACTCTATCAATCCTTCCACCCAAAAGACCAATAGACCACAAAATACCCCTACTGGCAAATACGAACCCTATCAATGTTCA